CACATACTTTTAATTATAATCGATCTTTGATTGAATCCAAAAACCAAAAAATGTAAATCGATTTTTGATTGAAGGTCGATTTATTAAACATCAAAAATTAAAAAATGTAAATCGATCTTTGGAGGTTAATTTATTTATTTTTTTCACAAAAATTAATAAATTTGAGAAGAATATTGCAAACCTATAAAGTTTCAAATTTATAATTTCGACAAATATGAAATTGTTGATGGATTGGGTTTAAGATATGAGTTTTCTTTAATTTTGTTTTATCTATGGGGTCCATGTCAACATAGCATAACAAATTAATTTATTTTGTCATGTCATAACATTGAATGTACGAGTATGCGAGTTGGAATGCTGAGCAACATAGGCTAGAAGGAAATCTGAAAGAAACTGAATAACTTACCTGGCTCAACTCAACTCAACCTGACTGACTCATTTCAATATAAAGCAATTTAAAACAAGTGCAATGTAAAGAAAAGTTGTTTAAAAGCATGCTATAAACTCTGCGTGTATGCAAAAATACTATAAATCTGAGATGTATGTAGAAATACAAATGAATTGATGTATATAAAAATACAATAACTGCTGTGGGAGTTTCTCTAACCGACAACTATCACATAAGAGCTATAGTGATGATACAACGATCAACCTCACGTTGCCAGAGCATCCTATACCCGGCCAAAAATATAGGACCTGAACTGCCTAATGAATCGACTAGTCTAATTTGAAAATGATTCATCCAAAAAGTATGAACCTCTTCTACCCATTGTCGCTACATGGTTCTATGGGGGTTGTGGGTTCTTTGAACGCTCCCCCAATTCGGTGCTCGCTACTACTCCCAAAAATGTACTGGCTTTTATGTTTTTAAAACATATTTATTTCTGCTGATTTGAGACTAGTGCTCAAAATTTAGCTCAAAGACTATCTTGGAATTCTCAGCTTCCCCTGCTTGCTTTATTTAGAAAGCCATTATTCTTTTCTGAAAACTAGCCCAAAGTCATCTTTGGAAATCTCAGTTTCCGATCTTGTTTAAATGTGAAAACATTTCTTTAAAACTTCTTTAGGAATACATAGTCCCTATATATCTCTTTGAAGAAAAGAACTTCAAACCATAGCTTTACTCTTTGCTTAACTTCAAAACTTAGGTCTTAAAACGACAATAAAACATTGTTAAGACCCTTGGAAACTTTAAGAAACTTTGTTTTGACTTGCTTCTTAACTTCTAGACTTGACTTTTAACTTCTTTGACTTTGAACTTAACTTTCCTTGAATTGAATTATAGATTCAAGGTTCAAGATCTCATGTTTATGAATGAATTCATGGTGTTTAGATGCACTTTAGAGTGTTGAAATTGACTAGGAAACATAGGTACATCACTTAGGAACAAGTACAAGAAGGTGGGGAACGAATAGGGAGAACTGGCGTCCCTGGCGCTCTGAGAGGCGCGGGGCGCCAGCCCGGCCTCTGAGGAACTTTTGTGGCACTCTGGCAGGCGCGACGCCCCAAGCCCTTGCCCAGAAACCCTCTAAACTTCAATGGTCCTTTCCCCAAACACTTAGGATCATTTATACCCTCAATTCATGATAGATTTAACTCGAAAAACAACCTGGAAACACGAATCAAATCAACACTAGGCATTCAACAATCAACCCACAAGAATTCAACAATGTTCTTCAAGAACTTCACTTTCTTAACATTCAAACAACTCCAATTTCGCTGAATTGAAACAAGTTAGTGTGTGGGTGAACTAACCCAACACGAAAGAAATCTCACATGCCTTAATAGGGATCACCCCCGACGAATTCCACTCGCAAAGTTTGAAAGTTCTTGGCGATTTCTTGATTTCTCTCCTCTTTTCTCTTCTTTCTGAATCCTCTCCAAGCCCTAGCGTAAATTCTAATTTTTTCTAAACTGAATAAAGTCTTGTTTTACCCCAATTAATTCCTAAAAATGAAATAGGCAAATTAGGTAAGGAAAAGACTAGTTTACCCCTCACAAATCCGGATTTGGACTTTCCTTAATCCAATAGCCCAACTTCCAAAGGGCATAACTTACTCATACGATCTCAGAATCGCGCAAACTCAGCGGCGTTGGAAAGATCATTCCAAGAGGTTTCCAACAATATCCAGATCTGCTCCTAACTCATCTTGAGCTAGGAGTTATGGCCGTATGAAAAAGGCCAAAACTCACTTCTTAACTTAGACAAAAATTTCCAGATGTTCTTATTCTATCCAAAAATCAATATTTTCATATGTTAAACTCTTTATAGTCGTTTCTAGGTGCGAGATGTTACACCTATAAAGTTTCAGATTTATAATTTCGACAATTATGAAATTGTTGATGGATTGGGTTTAAGATATGGGTTTTCTTTAATTTTGTTTTATCTGGGTCCATGTCAACATAGCATAAAAAATAAATTTATTTTGTCATGTCATGTATTTTTTCAAGGCGAAATGGTTTGGTGGACCCTTACACTTGTATTAGTTTGTATTCTGAATCCTTCTACTTACCCTTTTGTCATCTGGACCCTTAAAACTCAATTAAAATGAGACTTTTAATCCCCTCCAACCATGTGTGTAGCTCACTCTCTTTTATATAATTGACATGTCATATCCACGTCAGATATATTAATGCCACATCATAATTATTTCATAACTATTTAAAAAAATTATTAACCAAAATTATTAAATAAAATGTAAAATAATAACATTTTAATTTATTATTGGCATTTCTAATTCTCCCTACTTTCATTATTTCACCACCAAAAGAAAGTCATCGCCAGCGTCGTCGCCATTTTTGCCGGCGAAATCACATATACTTTCTCCCTCACCCGTCTTCATCTCCGCCGCACACCATCACTATTTTTCTTTCCTCTTCCAACCTCCACAGTAACAACAACCTAAGCCACCTAACAACCAGATCTGGCCAAACTTTTTGCAATCCAACACCGACTACTATTTTCACACCCCAAATTGCTTACAAATACAATTTCACACCAACCTCTGCCATGAAACTCATTGAAATCTACCCAAAATTCGCCTGAGATTTTCTTGGGTTATCGAAACGGGTTGAAAAAGACAAGTTTAAGGGATTAGAAGGAGACGATTGATGTGAAAGATTGAAGATGGGGACCTGCAAACTCCCCTTTCCATCCTCTCTGGCGTACCTGCAAACTCCCTCGCCGGCCGCCTCCTCCCATTCTAGCGGAAAAAAGGACCAACATCGCTCTCATTCTAGCGAAAAAGGGACCAGAGTCGCCTCTCTCTCTCACACCATTGTGAATCACCGAGCACCGCCATGAAACCAACACGATTCTCTCCCTCCACTAATAATCGCCATGAAACTTGATGTCACCAAAGTGCCAATGCCAAGATCGGGCTAAAGAAGATAACTATGGTGTGGAGAAAAAAGAAAGAGGTTTGGGCAGCGATGGGGAAGGGGTGGCTGAAAAAGCGATGTGGGGAAGAAGATGGATTCTTTTCTTTTTAAATTTTTTTATTATATAATTTTAATAATTTAAAATTTAAAGTTTAAAATATGATGTTCACTCGCCTTAAATGCGTGTAGTCACACTCTCTCGCCAACTCAGCTATTTTAATGTCACATAAGCATGGTCAATGGTCAGAGGGGTTTAATTTATTGTGTTTTATTTAGTTTAGGGGTTCAGTTGATAAAATGTTAAGTAGAAGGGTCCACAATACAAATTCATACAAGTACAAGGGTTCATGAGACCCTTTTGCCTTTTTTAATGATAATTTTGGTTTAGTGATTTTATAAAAGAAAATCTCAAAGTTGAGTGATTTTATTCATACAAAACAAAGTTGAGTGACTTTACTAGATAATTCTCCATAATTGAGTGACCTTTAAAAATATTTACTCCTTGAAATCTCTAAAAAAATCACATGATATATTTGTCAAGTTTTGTAAATAGGAATAATATAGCACGGTATAGTTGCATTAGTACTGATCACCTGGAGACATAGCTATAAGGACAACACTTGATTAGATGGATATTTATGTTTTTTTTATAAAAAAAAAAGTTACTTGCAAATGGATATTACTACTTGAGTGGAAAAACAATATGATCTGCATGTCATAGATCTTTAAAGGCATTGCTTGATAAAAGTTATCCTTAACTTTGGAAGGGTATTCATAAGTTTTACTTGACAAATACGTGCGACGCTATTTTGTGCACATGATTGAGACCAGACCATTTATAGTGAGCCCGAATATTGTGGCGTACCCGTCCTTGTGAGATTGTTTGCATTTGATAGTCAGCAGGAATGTCATGACTGGTTCCCTGACTTGAGCCAAGATATGACACATATGGACTGCGGGCAAGACCCTCATAGCGAGCCCACAGAGGGCGTACCTTGTGTTTGATCGTGATTACAGTTATGCGTATAAAATCATAGTCATGAGTACATGAGCGCATATTTGTATATGATCATTTGTTTAGAGATAGTCACAATACATCACTTAGGCAAATTGCTAGGCGCTTCATAATAATGAATAACTCATACGACGTTATATGATAAGATAATAAGGAAAATACAGAAATTATAGTTTCATATTACGTATTGTCACTTGTATGGTCATAAGTTATAGTTTCAAGGGAAAATACATTAAAAAAAAAAAAACCTTAAACTTGACAGCACCACTTACTTTAGCACTTAAACTATACGGGTACCCCCTTAACATCTTTCAAGTGAATTTAAATACATCCGAATAGCTGACGTGGCAAGTCAAAAAAGACATTAACTCATGAATGTTAATGAATTGAGAGTATAATAGGAAAAAGAAAATTGTCTAACTTATAGTGGCAGATTGGTAGTTAACAGCTCCTTAAAGTAATTTATAGGCTGATTGTTGTGGAAATAACAGCTCCTTTTGTTACAGTTTTGAACAAACTATTCCTTAGTTTTAATTGTGTTGTAGGTTACATATGTTCTATCTTCTTCCTATAATTAAAGATGCTTAACTCTTTTTTCTTGTTGCAGTAAGTGAGCAAGGAAATATGGAAGAGAAGAGTCATGAGATCGCGAAAGATGTGACAGAAGTAGTTTCCTTTCTGAAATCTTTCTTGGTACTCTTTACATCCTCCTTGTTTAGAATCAAATCATCATCGCATTTTGTTGTCTTCACAATGTAGCTAATTGGAAGCACCCCTATGGTATATCTGAACAAAATCGTGGAAGGTTGTGCTGCCCAAATTGCAGCCAAATTGGAGATAATGCAACCATGCTCAAGTATCAAAGATAGGTGTTTATCTTTCACTCCCCTCATCCTGTTTCTTCGCTCAATTTGCAAAATCTTGAATTATTCACATCTTATTTCTAACTTGCAATTCTTAATATGTAGGGTTGCATGGAGTATGATCAAAGATGCAGAAGACAGGGGCCTGATTAGCCCTGGAAAGGTTGGTGAAGTTTGTATGAGAATAAATAGCAAGATGAAAAAGGAACACATTGAAGAGATATATATGTTCATTTCTCTTGATAGTGATGTGAATTCTGTGGTCTATTATAATTTATCTGAAAGGCTGAATTGAAGTTATTTTCTTGGTTTTCAAATGATGAAATAATGGTGGCTTAAGACTGTCCTTCTAGAGACATCCAACGGAAATACCGGCATTGGTCTTGCGTCTATTGCAGCAGTTCGTGGCTATAAACTCGTGATAGTGATGCCAGGATCATATAGTATTGAGAAAAGGATTGTTCTTAAAGCTTTGGGGGCTGAGTTATACATCACAGATCCTGCCAAAGGTATAGATGGTGTGCTTCAGAAGGCCCAAGAGATAAAAGACACAACACCCAACTGTTATTTTCTTCGTCAGGACAAGAACCCTGCCAATCCAAAGGTGTCTATACAAATAACTCAATTCATTTATTATAAAAACATAACACTTATCAAGTATCCATTTTATAGATACATTATGAAGCAACTGGACCTGAAATATGGAATTGTACCGGAGGGAAAGTTGATATTTGTATTGCTGGGATTGGGACTGGAGGCACAGTGACAGGAATTGGAAGGTTTCTCAAGGAAAAGAATCCAGAAATAAAGGTAAGGTTATTTGTGACCGGCATTGTTCTTCTTTCCTTTTGACTTGATTTGTGATTTTCTTTCCTTCTTTTTGTCTTGTCGGAAAATCAGGTATATGGTTTAGAACCAGCTGAAAATGCATTTCTAAACGGAGGACAACTAGGTCAGTCAACTAACATGCCATAGCATTAGTTCCATATAAAGAGTTGTTCAAGCTCTCATCTCTGTTTTCATCACTACTTTCTGTGAATTATTTATTAAATGTTAACCGTTATAGGGCCACATAAAATCCAAGGAATTGGTCCTGGTTTTATCCCACCTGTTCTCGATCTCAGCATCCTGGATGGAGTTCTTCAAGTGAGGCTGTATACCATATAAGTAGTTGTCAGATTATAAACATTTAAATTTCTGTTCAATGTGTATAAGTTATGATATCAGCTTCTGTTTTTATTTATGTTCAGGTATCTAGTGATGAAGCTATTGAAATGACAAAGCTTCTTGCATTGAAAGAAGGCCTGCTGGTAAGATTACTTTTATTTGAGTCCACATGCAGATTGTCTGTCTACCGCTTCATTTGTGGTATGTGTTCTTATTAAGTCATCACGACTATACTTCAACTTTTTATTTTGGAATATTTTCAGGTAGGAATTTCATCAGGGGCTTCAGCTGCTGCTGCAGTAAAAGTAGCAAAAAGGCCAGAAAATGCTGGGAAACTTATTGTGGTAAGTTAATTCTATTCAGTAATTAAGCTGATAACATTCTTTCTCTGTCTCCTTGAAACATTTGAACACTGGCCTAAAATTATGTATGCAGATTATATTCGCTAGTTCTGGAGAGCGTTATCTTTCCACCGTGCTGTTTGATTCCATTAGAGAAGAGGTGGAAAACATGGCTTTTGAGTAATTTTATGCTTCTTTGGAGTTATATATGTTGTAACTTGAGCTAAAATAGTGAAGATCTTTGAAGTGTAACCCCTAAATGGATGAACTATTGTTCACTAATACATTCTTAATATTTGAATGGTACAAAGAACAACTATTTGCTTGCCTACAGATATTAACCTCTCTTGTGCTAAGTGGTATGTGTTTGCTCGTCTCCTTTATAATTTACACCAGAATTAGACCTTAACAATATGCATTGTTGAAATAACTGCAAAATCTTAACATTTTCATCATTTCCTGGCTAGAATTTATCACGATAGTATTCGTGAAAAACTAAATATTTATATTCATGATTGAGTATAAAAAAAGATTGCAATTTGCACTACTTTAACTTTTACGAATGAAATAATTCTTAATATTTTAAAGAAAATAAATAAAAATTATAAGAAAAAACTCTTCTATAAATGGATTAAAAGAGGTCTATTAAATGACATGTTAAGAATTCCCACATCGGAAAAGGGATGGGAATTTAGTCTCTTAATATGGAACTTGGACAATCCTCCCCTTATAAGCTAGCTTTTAAGGTTGAGTTAGGTCCAAGATCCATCTATACATGCTATCATAGCTAGGCTCATTTCAATTCTTTGTTCACTGATGTTGGTCCCCATATTATAGTGTCCATGCTCCAGTTAACAAGGTTTGGGCGTGCGGGGGAGTGTTAAGAATTTCCACATCAGAAAAGGGATGGGAATTTAGTGTCCTTATATGGAACTTGGACAATCCTCTCCTCATAAGCTAACTTTTGAGGTTGAGTTAGGTCCAAGATAGCGGATACAGTTGTTCCCCCCTTAATTAGAGGTCTTGATCCTTCTTAATAGGCCCCTATGCTGCGTGAATCCAAATATAATTGGACTCCAATGTGAAAATTGAATATCGAATGGGAAACCAAAATTAAAGTTGTTCCTCTATTAATTAGAGGTCTTGATCCTTCTTAATGGGCCCCTCTGCTGCGTGAATCCCAATATAATTGGGCTCCAATGTGAAAATTGAATATCGAATGGGAAACCAAAATAAAAGGAAAAATATGATATTTGTGTTGAATATATAACGGCAAAATAGTATAATTTTTGTTTCAATTTATTTGTCTGATTTTGACTTAACATAATAATAAAAAAGATAAAAATTTTGAGATCTTAAACCAAAATATGTGAAATATAATAAAAGATATTTTAATTTTATAATCTTAAACATGCTTAAAAAAACAACAACAACAACAGTAATTTTCTTGGTTTTCAAATGATGAAATAATGGTGGCTTAAGACTGTCCTTCTAGAGACATCCAGCGGAAATACCGGCATTGGTCTTGCGTCTATTGCAGCAGTTCGTGGCTATAAACTCGTGATAGTGATGCCAGGATCATATAGTATTGAGAAAAGGATTGTTCTTAAAGCTTTGGGGGCTGAGTTATACATCACAGATCCTGCCAAAGGTATAGATGGTGTGCTTCAGAAGGCCCAAGAGATAAAAGACACAACACCCAACTGTTATTTTCTTCGTCAGGACAAGAACCCTGCCAATCCAAAGGTGTCTATACAAACAACTCGTTCATTTGTTATAAAAACATCACACTTATCAAGTATTCGTTTTGTAGATCCATTGTGAAGCACCTGGACCTGAAATATGGAATTGTAGAGGAGGGAAAGTTGATATTTTAATTACTGGGATTGGGACTGGTGGCACAGTGACAGGAATTGGAAGGTTTCTTAAAGAGAAGAATCCAGAAATAAAGGTAATTAAGGTTATTTGTGACCGGCATTGTTCTTCTTTCCTTTTGACTTGATTTGTGATTTTCTTTCCATCTTTTGTCTTGTCGGAAAATCGGGTATATGGTTTAGAACCAGCTGAAAATGCATTTCTAAATGGAGGACAACTAGGTCAGTCGAGTTTCTTTCCCCTTAGAAAATGCCATTGCATTAGTTCCATATAAAGTTTTTCCAGCTTATCTCTCATACTGTGTTTTCATCACTACTTTCTGTGAATGTATCATAGACTGATATGTGTGATTAAATGTTACCGATAAAGGGCCGCATAAAATCCAAGGAATTGGTCCTAGTTTAATCTCACCTGTTCTCGATCTCAGCATCCTGGATGAAGTTCTTCAAGTAAGGCTGTATACCATATAAGTAGTTGCGTTGGTTGCGTGTTGCAGATATTAATGTATTAATACCACCAACTTTGCTCTTTGGCTGTAATTTGAAACCGCTAGTTGAAGTCAGTGGAGATTGATAGCTGAAATTCCACACATTGTACGTCGTGGTTTTTTACTCTCTTCAGCAAAGAGGTTTTCTATTGTGTTAGCTAGATTGTCATACATTCTCGTTTCACTTCCATGGTCGAGAGTATATTAGGTACATATATTCTCTTCTTCCTATTATTGAATATGTTTAGCTCTTGTTTCTTGTTGCAGTAAGTCAGCAAGACAATATGGAAGCGAAGAGTACTCATGAGATCGCGAAAGATGTAGTTTCCTTTCTGAAATCTTAATTTCTTGGTACAATCTTTACATATTGCTATTTCAGCATCGAATCATCTCATTTTGTTGTCTTCACAATGTAGCTTATTGGAAACACCCCTATGGTATATCTCAACAAAATAGTTGAAGGTTGTGCTGTCCAATTTGCAGCCAAATTAGAGTATATGCAACCATCTGCAAGTGTCAAAGACAGGTGTTTAACCTTCAATCCCCTCATCCAGTTTATACATCATTCCTATTGAAAATCTTGAATTTACGGAATTTTTCACATCTGTTACTGATTTGTAGGATTGCATATAGTATGATCAAAGATGCAGAAGATAAGGACCTAATTACTCCTGGAAAGGTTTGTGAAATTGGTTTCGAGAATACTTATTAACAGCTTGTAAAGATGTTATATGACTCTCAAGTGTGATGATAAAACTAGGATTAACATAACTTTTCATGTTATTTGAATTCTGTCCTATTGTCTGAAACTGCTGAACTGAAATGATTTCCTTGTATTTTCAAATGTTGAATTAATGACGGCCGGAAGAGTGTCCTTCTTGATGTAACCAGTGATAATACCGGCATTGGGCTTGCATTTATAGCTGCAGCTCGTGGCTACAAACTCATGATAGTGATGCCATCATCTTATAGTCTTGAGAGAAGGATTGTTCTTAAAGCTTTGGGGGCTGAGTTATACATCAAAGATCCAGCCAAAGGTTCTGATGGTGTGCTTCAGAAGGTTCAAGAAATACTAGATAGGACCCCAAACTGTCATTTTCTTCATCAGTTTGAGAATCTTGCCAATCCAAAGGTGTCTCCAATACGAATAATTTGTTCATTAATTTGCTACAAAAGCGTCTGTCATACTTATCAAGTATGAATGTACAGATCCATTATGAAACAACTGGACCAGAAATATGGAAGAGCACAGGAGAAAAAGTTGATATTTTCATTGCAGGGATTGGGACTGGAGGCACGGTGACGGGAGCAGGAAGGTTCCTCAAGGAGAAGAATCCAGAAATAAAGGTATATGGTATAGAACCAGCTGAAAATGCAATTTTAAATGGAGGACAACTAGGTCAGTACATAGGAATTTCCCTGTATTCATCTCTGCTTCGGCGAAATATTATTTATCATATACTGATTGATATGTATGTAATTAAATGTTAAAAGGGCCGCATAAAATTCAAGGAATTGGTGTTGGTTTTATTCCAGTCGTTCTCGATCTCAGGATCCTGGATGGAGTTCTTCAAGTAAGGCTGTATACTAAATATATACTAGTTGTCAAATTTTACAAACATTTAAATTTGTATGACTGTCTAATCAGGTATCTAGTGATGAAGCTATTGAAATGGCAAAGCTTATTGCATTGAAAGAAGGCCTGCTGGTAAGTTCACCCGTCAATAAAGATCACTTCTGAGTCCTCCATTCTTATATCATTGCAACTATCAGGTAGGAATATCGTCAGGGGCGGCAGCTGCTGCAGCAATTCAAGTAGCAAAAAAGCCTGAAAATGCTGGGAAACTTATTGCAGTAAGTTAGATCTGTTTCATTAAGCTTATCGATCGATAACATTCTTTCTCTGTCTCCTTAAAAAATTTGAACACTGGCCTTAAATTATGTATGCAGATTATTTTTGCTAGTTCTGGAGAGCGTTATCTTTCCACTAAGCTGTTTGATTCCATTCGAGAAGAGGTGGAAAACATGACTTTTGAGTAACTTTATGCAATGTTGTAACTTGAGCTAAAAATAATAAAAACTTCTGAATGTTGTAACCTCTTAAATGGCTATGAACTTATTGTTCACTTGTACATTCTTATATTATATGAATGGCACAAACAGAACCTATTTGTTCTCCTACAGCTAGATATTAACTTCTCTTGTGCTAAGAGGTCTATTTTTACTTGACTCTTTTATAGTTTACACGAGAATTAACCCCTCCTTCTTAAACTTACAAGGCTTAAAAGTTTGAATCAGACAAACGATAACCTCTCTCTTTCAAAGTTCCTATAACTCATTACACGTGGGTTGCACGTTTATCCCTTAATACTTTATAAAACTTGTACATGATTGACTTTATGTTGGCAGTTATTTATCGCATATTATTTCAATACATAAATTAGGATATAGTTAGATACATATAATTTTTAACATAACATCTCAGTCCCAAGCCATATATAACACCTCAACAAACTTATTCTTTAGTTTTTTAATGCTTTTTTATTTATATTTTCATGCACAATTAGATGTGACAATATCATGTCTTTCCTGTAAATTTCAATTTCAATTTTCTACAAAAGAAAAAAAAATGTTGGAAAATAAACAAAACAGAAAAAAAAACTACAAAAATGGAAAACTGAAGAAATTACTATCGTACTAAACGTTTTCGGAAAATAAAAGGAACATACCCAGTAGTTTTTCGGCTTCCTTTCCATATATTTAATATTTTAAATTAATTGATATTTTATTTTTAATACAACTAAAGTCTGCATTTTTTTTGT